GGTATTTTAGTATTTAATTATGCTTTTTCTAAAACTATAGCATTATTAGGATTATGTCTCAACATTTCACCCTTTAATGCTCTATTAGCTTATTGACGTTGATGCGGATGCTTCCGATTCGGCGAGCAAGAGTTCTGAGCTTTTTGGCTCTGGGATTCAAAGTGAGACTGCGAATATGAAAGCCCGCACGGCGGCTCTGCTTGCTGCTGAAGAAGCTGAATCCAGGTCTCGTTCGCCTGAGGCCTCGGGTATGCGTGGAGCGATTAGCAAGCCTACTGCTGGGGGCGCTACTGCCGGAGCTGCATTCGGTGCTGCTAGTAGAATCGATGGTAAAGATTATTAGTCTTGGTTCTTCTGATGTTTAATTTGATTTATTTTTGAATAATATCTAGTGACTACATCTACAGAATTTTGGTTGGTGCATTTAGACGCTATTAGTAAGAATGAGTATTTAGCACTTAGAAATAAGCATGTTTTCTCTATAATTTCTAGCTTCCTTGTGCTTTATTTGGTTATAAGTTATCTATTTTACCGAATTGGGAAATTTATTTGCATGGTGAGCTTGGACTCGTAATTAATTCAAAAAAAAAAAAATTTTATTCTGAAGTGCAACATTCTTTCTTTTATTTTAGATTCCGACATGTCTACTGTCGGTGAACCAGAGAAACCATTGAGTAAAAAGAAACAAAAACTTTTGAATCGGCCAAGCGTGGCGGCTCTTAAGCAGGCTGTGGCTAGACCTGACGTTGTTGAGATGTGGGATGTTTGTGCTCGTGATCCTCTTCTCTTGGTTTACCTTAAATCCTATCGCAACACCGTGCCTGTCCCAAGACATTGGTGTGCCAAGCGGAAGTATCTTCAGGGAAAAAGAGGTTTTGAAAAGCCTCCCTTCCGTTTGCCCGATTTCATCGCGAGAACTGGGATCATGGAGATGCGTCAAACAGTCCAAGATAAAGTGCATACCTTTTATTCTTGACTTTGTTAGTTTTAATAGTAATTTTTGCGAAATCTCTTTACTAATTGTAACGTATTGTGATGTTTATGTTTTTAGTCTACAATTCGGTTTGTCTTTTGCTATTTTATCATAATCTAGAATACGGGCGTTCTAGGAAAACAAATCTTTTTCAAAATTTATGATCCCTAAAGGCTTTTTATGCTATTTTCGGGACAAATTGATACCAGTTTTAATAATATAGGGTTGATAACTAAAAAATTTTACTATTGAATTATCAAACCTTGTTAATGGTGTAATTCTATATGTACTTATCCTTTATTATTCACCTTAAAATTCAGATCCTGATCGCTTATTTCTTATGACAAAAATAGTTCATTAATCTTTTCAACTACTCTAATTATATACTGTCGCTTTCGTCATGACTTTACTCGGATGATATTTCCTATCCTTAAGACTAGCTAATTTGTTCCATTTCGAATTGTCGTCTTGTTCTGTCTTAATATCATTCTTCCACCTTATATGCCCTGTATCCATTCACGATCATACGACAAACCTGTACATTCTGATTATTCTTTTACTTATGATATGACTTAGATAAAGGCCTGACCGAATTTGCCATGATCTACGTACGAGGAGCGGAGGAGCGGCTTGAGGGTAATTGTAGACATAAAGATCAAGATGGTGTGGTCTTGTTTAGTCGTGGTCTCTTTTAACTGTATAATGTTGATGTGATCTCGTTTTTGCAACCTGATCGGAGTGGCAGGGAGATCTTGTGGAAGTATCTAGTCCTGCGTCCTCTGCCATAGTATTTGTGATTATCTTTAACGTCGTACCTTGACTTAGTACCTTCCCTAACGTTTCGCTGGCATCATCAATGAGACGCCATCGTCGACACGGTTATACCTTATAAAAGTGACAAGTGAAGGCAATCCCCATCGATTAATTTTCTGTTCAAACGTTGAAGCATCACTCCTAGCCTCTGATTTTTGTCCTAACTTATAGTGCTGTACCTCTCTCTCAACCCCACTTTATGTGGCCCATTTACCTATTCATACCATTCGTTGGATCGAATTCAGCTAACGAGTAGTTAGGTTTTTCCGGCAAATAATTGGTTACGGATTATGAAATTCATTTTTTATTAGTTTTGGTGATGCTTTAATTTGTTTGTTCATGCGCTTCTTGAAAATCTGCCGATGAATGTGTGTTGCCTAAAGTTGGCCGAATCCTTTTATTTATGAATGTGTTTTTCAGCTCGGCACATTCGTATGTCTCATTCTGTGATCCTTATCGTGTGTTTTGTTCAGGTTATTACTTAGCTCTGCATCATACAGGTTAATAAACTGGGCTAGCGGCCTTGCTCATCGAATCCACAAAATTGCATTTTAAATAAGATGTATCCACACCATTTCGTTAAGTTGATGAAGGTCTGGAAGTTATAGCTTCCTACACTAACATGAGTAGAACTTACATTTCCATTCAATTCCCCAAAAGTATTATCATTCAAAGCGAACTGCCTAGGTTTCCTCAGCATCTGAGCGGGACTCTGATTATGATAGTGCAGCGTGTAATCTCGACACGTTACCCACTACACTATCCTGGATAAGAATACCCTTTGGGAAGCAAGACTATGCGAAATTCGATGGAAACGAGGCCTACTCATATAATTGTTGAAAAATTAAACTGACAACCCTTCATCACCTTAGCCAAATTGGTTGAATACATCTCATATATGTGATCTGGTAATCTCGAATACCTGCTAACAACGGAAAGTAAGTTGCATCTTGCTTTCTTATTACTACCTTTTAATTAATTAATTTTTTGAATGACTTAGAGCTTAGTGATTTTTGTTGATCTCTACATGAGGGACAAACAGTCAAGCTTGACTATCAGAATGCATAAACTTCTGATCAGATTGGTGGCGGAATTTAGTTTTTAATCTCTACAAAAGGATGCTTGTAATATTTGATTGCTTCTAATTGTCGTTCTTCCATGTATTGCTTGAAGCAGCCTGAATATCAAACTCATCCACATATAAGCCTGGATGATGCCCGAGTCATTCACTGTATTTCTATTATAATTTAAGCTTTGGGTCATAAATCTTCCGTTGTTATCATATTTGGTCATTTTCCTTTGCATTACCCTATCTCTCATTTTTTACTCATATAATTCACCTTATTTGCAGGACTCTGAGAAGACGCTCAAGTCTAAGATGCGGGAGAAGATTCGACCCAAAGTTGGCAAAGTGGACATAGATTATCACAAGCTACATGATGCCTTCTTTAAATATCAAACGAAGCCAAAAATGACGCGCCACGGAGACCTTTATTATGAGGGCAAGGAGTTCGAAGTAAAGCTAAAAGAGAAGAAACCTGGAGTACTTTCAGAGGAGTTGAAGACTGCTCTCGGACTACCTCTTGGCGTCGTAGGTTTAGTTCTTCCTTATTTAAATAATTCGATAAAAATATTGCCTTGATCCTCACTAATGCCGTGCCATATTTTTCTGGCAAATCTAGCCTGTGTGTGATTACATAGTACATATCGTTTTAATCATATATGCGTATTACACATTAAATTAGAAGAACATTTTGGTTTTTATGGGAAAGGATATTTCAGGCCCCGTGAGATTTCATTTATTGAGCTTATCGATGCTCACTACTTTGTGACTTTAGTCGGAGGTATGAAGACCAAGATGGTGTGGTCGCAGTCTCCTTTCGTTGTATAGAGGTTGTTTGACCTTGTTTTTGCAACTTGGTCATATTGTTAGGAAGACTTAGAGGAACGCATTTAGTCCGTACAATGGACTCCCGACTAGGTGCGTTCCTCTAAGTCTTCCTACCAATATGACCAATTTGCGAAAACAAGGTCAAACAACCTCTTTTGTGACTTTAGGTTACATTTCTTGGCTTTTGACCAAACTGAATCTCTGGCGCTTATTGCATAGCCCGATTCCTAGACATGCTTCATTAGAAAAATGATTTTGCCACTGTTTAATCTTTTATTCTTCGAATTCACCCATATCGTATCTAGGGCAGCGAGCGCTATCCTCCACCTTGGCTCATTGCTATGCAGCGCTATGGACCGCCTCCCTCCTACCCTAACCTCAAGATACCTGGACTAAATGCATCAATTCCCGATGGATGTGCTTTCGGTTATCATCCCGGTGGCTGGGGAAAACCGCCAGTCGATGAGTTAGGCCGGCCGATATACGGGGATGTTTTTGGCAATGGAGGAAACATTGCTGGCGTGCCGCCTCCACCTCCCACTCCGATAACGGAAGTTGATCAAGAAATGGGTAAGTTGAGGTTGCATCTCACGAGTTTAATATTAAATGGAAGTAAAAAAATGTCTTTATTTCCACTTGTAATTTGGTAAATTCTTTGAAAAGGATTTGGGTGGATGTTCAGGTCCATTTGGACTGTAGAATTTATTGCAATTAAAATAATAATACTGAAGATTTCGGCTGCTTTTATTCCTTCTCGTCATATCATTTGACTCGAGCGTAACCAAATTTAGTTTGAGGATGATTGCTTTATTAGAGTTTAAAAATAATAATTGATGGTACTGCATTTAAAAACTTGACTTTATATGAAAGTGGATAATTTGTATCTTAATTACTTACAAAGGAAATTTTTTGATTATTCTCGTTATTCACACTGCAACTTTTCCAGAGCTTATCTCTGTGATCCACGAGCATTCGCAAGGGGACCAAAGGAATA